CAGCAGCCAGCGTGAGCGGCCAGCAGCCACTGTGAGCAGCCGTCCAGAAGCCGGCGACTGATCTGCCTCACCCGGGAAGAGCGCAATGATGGTGCCAACTTTCCCCTTCCCCCAATTCCCCAGCGCTGTTCCGATCCCCCAATTCCCCAATAAAAATCTTAAAAAAAACATTGCAATTACTCCCCGAAAGCAATGAATAATAGGCGTTTCTATCACTATAGTCTTTAACTTGTTCGCTAATTGAAGATGCAGTCCATTTAATTCATATCAGATCAGTTTATGATTATAGCTTACCCATGGAGTAAAATAGTGTTTCCCTGCCCATTGAACTGCCAGTGTTTTATATGTGTGTGTGCACGTGCACAGAGACAGAGAAGAAAAATGAATGAACAAACTTAAGGAAAGTATTTACACCAAAGGCCAACAGTTTAGCTGATATGGCAGCAAGAACTTATGATGGGGCGCCAAATAATGTATGTGGCCAGGAGAGGAGTCAGGAGAAACTGTTATGTACAGGTAGACTGATCAAGTATTAATAAATAAATGTATTGAAGTTTATTGGAGCCACATTCTTCACTGCCTGAAAAGGGAGTTACAAATTTGGAAAAGGGGAAAGCTAGAATGAACTCTATCGTGTTTGGAATTGAATGCATCAGTATGAATTTATGGTTTTAGATTGATAGATAGAGAGATAGATGGATGATAGGTAGGTAGGTAGGCAGGTAGATAGATAATAGATGATGATGATGATGATGATGATGATGATAATGATGATAGAAAAAATGATAGATTATATTCGGTTGTTGGAAAAGTCATGATGCATGTTTGCAACAGATGGCACTAGTTCATTTTTGGAAGTACTAGAGTCATTTGCATCTACGTTATTGCTATGTCATTTGACAGCTGACAGGTCTAGCTTCATTCTAAAAAAAATTTAGCGATTTGGTTGAGTTTTGGAGATTTTACAAGTTGAAGATGGAAGACCAAACTGTGCATTTTTGCCATATTTTACTGTTTTACTTCTATAAAGAATGCACATCAAGCTTGTGAAAAGTTGCATAAAGTTTACGGTGACAACGCTCTACAAGAACATCAGTGCCAACAATGGTTCACGAAATTCCGTGCTGGTGATTTTGATATCAACGATGCTCCTCGGTCAGGGAGGCCACCGAGGTTGATGACGACAAAATAAAGGCACTGATTGACTCAAACCCACATTACACAACATGAGAGATTGCAGAAACATTGAACATCCATCATTTAAGCATTCATGACCACCTGAAGAAGCTGGGATATGTAAGCAAGCTCAATATTTGGGTTCTGCATGAACTCAAAGAAGTTCATTTGATGGTGCGTATAAACATCTGAAATATGTTCATTAAATGTGAGGAAAACAATTCTTTTTTGAAGCAACTGATAACTGGTGATGAGAAGTGGACTGTTTACAACAATGTGGTGCACAAACAGTCTTGGTCCCGATGTCATGATTTGCCTCAAACGACATTGAAAGCAGTCATTCATCAGAGGAAGGTTATGCTCTCAGTGTGGTGGGATTTTAAAGGTGTCGTGTTTTTTGAGCTCCTACCAAGGAACCAAACAATCAATTCAAATGTGCACTGCCGGCAATTGGACAGTTTGAATGACTCCAACATCCAGAAACGTCCAGAGCTTGTTAATTGTAAAGGAGTTGTGTTTCATCATGACAACGCGAGACCACACACATGTTTGATCACCTGTCAAAAATCATTGGAGCTTGGATTGGATGTATTGCCACACCCACCATACTCGCCTGACCTTGTGCTGTCAGACTTCCACTTGTTTCACTGTCTTCAAAACTCCTTACATATCAATTCAGATGAGGCTATAAATCAGCAACTTGTTCAGTATTTCACAAATAAAGACAGGTCCTTCTATGAATGAGGAATTATGAAGCTTGCTGAAAGATGGCAAAAGGTTATTGAACAAAACAGGCAATATATCATTGATTGATCTTTGTTCTTTATATAAATAAATGACCTTTGAAAAACATAGACAAAATACATCATGACTTTTCCGACAACCCAATAGATAGATAGATGAATATAGAAGTAAAAGCACGTATTTGAAAATACATATGTGTACATACCTAGATA